ACAGAACATCAAGAATGACAGAGATGGCAGAGACAGCATCACACTCTATGCCCTAGTGTAACCACAGGGTTTAACTAACTTAGGCAGGATGGGGTTCAAGGAAAGATGGTCAGCAGAAGATCTGACAGAGGAGCAACACCTGCATTGGAACTTTTTTTCTGTGTACGGTGCAGTGATCTGGAGAAGAGAACAGGCATTCCTTTAATAACTTACAATGTTTGCAAGTGTGAAAAGTGATGTCATAGCTGAAGAATCAGTAATTCTGAAAGGCTCAGGTGCATGAGTCAAAACTAGGTCTCGTTGGTGAGGAGGGTTGTAGGACAGGACATATGTAAGCATGTGGGAGGATCACTTGAGCTCATTAAAGACCTGGCTAGGCAATATAAGGAGACACTATCAAAAGCAGATAGACATGAGGATGTGGCCTTTATTTTAAAGCAGTGGATAAACAGTGTTTTAAGCAAGACGAGACAGCCACATTGTCAGGCTGTAAATGAGAAATCGCAGGAAAATATATAGAAAAGGGCAGGAAGGGGAAAGAATTGGCAGCCAAGACCGAGGTAAGGCAAATAGAACTCCTCCAAAAATGACCTTATGGTTGACAAGCAGAATTGGTGAAAATTGTGAGAAACATCAGTGGAGCTTCCTGAATAATCTGTGGTCATTTGGTATGAGAACATACCTTATAAAAACAAAATAAATTATTAGACTGGAATTAGAACTCTACACTAGACTCATTTTTTCCCTTGCCCAAGTCACAAGTCATTGATTCAAAATGACTTTTGTACTACCTATCTATCTATCCCAGACTATCGCTAAGCACTTACATACATATATGGCTATGTTGGAAACATGGGATAATTTTGGAGATTTTAAAAACATACATGATAGCATAATGCAAAAATCATTCTGAAACATATTTAAAACTCAGCAACACATCTCCAATTGAACCATTAAAACTACTATCATTACATTATTCCTTGTTCCCATATGAAGAAATCTAATTATTTCCCCTAAAAAGCACAGTCTTTTTATATGCCTCATTATGCCTGTGAGAGCATTTATCTCTGATAGCTATCTCAGTAACTAGAATTTGAAAGATAAATTCAAATAGGCATTGTCACACAATTTTGTGATTTTCTTAGTTTTTTAACCTAAAATTTTAGATAAGCTTATCAATTGCTACAGAAATTTTTCTGGCCTTTTGTGAGACATTTTACTGACACTGAATGTCCACTCAGGGATTGTTGACACTTCATCTGTATCAGTCTTCCAGTCTGTAAGTCAAACTATCTCTGCACACTCAATGATTAGTTTAATCAGCCTCTTTGAATTAAGTCCTTATGTTTCTGCACACATGTTCACGACCCAGGTGGAGAGAGATTATGCCTTGCCAAACTGAAAACTGCTATTTATTTCTTTAACACCCAACCAATACCCTTCAGTATAATCTGCAATAGAAGTGGGAGGAGTGGATCTTTTTTTTAAATCTAAGTCAATTTTTAAATAGAGGAACATTTACCTATAGTTTTTTTTTTTTTTTCTAATGTTTGCCTGGGTTTAGAATCAAGATCACACTGTATTCCTAGATTGAATTGGATTTTATAAAATCCTAAAATTTATCCAACTTGAGCAGAACTTGGTACAGTTCTTCCTTTTAACATGTGGTATAATTTACTAGTGCCCCAAAGGCCTTTGTCTGTCCTCTCACAGGAGCTCTTTCAGTTTGTAAAAGACTTTCTATATTTGTCCAGCTTGGTAATTTATGTCTTTGTAGAATTACACTGTTTTTCATTTCATCTAAGCTATCTCACTGTGGGCATATACTTTTGCTTATATTTGGATATATGATCATTTTGGCTACTATGAAATTAGTATTACCTCCTGTCATTTTTTATTTGGGTAATTTGTACTTTTTCCTTTATTTTTGATTAAGCCATCCTAAGAATTTTCTATTTTGTTGATCTTTAATTAATTAATTGATTTGTAGTACCTTATGGATCTTTGAAGCTGTTGATTTCTTCAGCTTTCTAGGTATACGAGTGGTTAATAAGAATTACAGACTGGGTTTTCAATGAGTACAGTGTTGTGTTTTAAAAAGTGTTATATTATATTTATTTTACACCATGAAACCACACACACACACACACACACACACACACACACACAGTGGGAAGTGGTAACTGCCCCCACCCCACCCTTTTGGCTTGTACTAAGCACATGCCATCATCTGGACATGTTTGTTTGGATTGCACCAAATGTAGCGCAGTCGTTATTCCATCAATGTGCTCTCTCCATTGCACACTTTATGGCATCCCATATACAGCCCAAGAACATTTACACAATTATTACATCAACAAAATTGCTTTTAAGTAACTATGTACAAAACCACTTTTATTCTTCAAGGATAATGATAGTTTCATAAACTTTGTTTGAAATAATTTTCTAATTTCTGAGCATCTCTGAATTCTCTACACTCCTAATCAGGTAAATGAAATTAATCCTTACCTCTGAGCTCAACTGTCTACAAATAATGGACTGAAATTCCACCTTTGATGCATATGAATGATTACAATTTGCATTTGATTATTTCCAGTCATCATAACATTCAGTTGATATGATTAAATGTCACATTCATTTCACCTGTTTTGTTCACAACACTTCACATTATACATTGTTGGCATCACATCGATTATGTAACAGTAATCCTTTTTTTTTCCAATTTAATGAATAGTTCCTAGTCTAAAATACTTGACTAAGTAAAATTCAGCAGTTATTTTACTGTTGGACCACTGAGTCTGTAAGATGTAAATGTACGATATGGCTTCTTCAGAGAGTTCCCAGGACTTCCCAATTATTTCTTTAAGATCTATTATTAATATTTTCAATGATATGCCTGTCTGTGTTTGTGTGAGGATGTTCGCATGTAAGAAGAGCTGCCTGAAGAGGACAGAGGCAGCAACAACCTCTGGTGGTTGCAAGTTGCCTGATTTAGGTGCTAGGAGCTGAACTTGGGTCTGCTATAAGATCAAGTTCAATATTCATTATTGTGTGTCATGAACCTTGCTTTCACTTGGCTGTTAATTAGGCTGTTAAAAAAATTCCTAATTTTTTATAATCCATATTTCCAAGTACATTTAATCATTCCATCCTCTCTATTGTGATCAGTTAACTGTGTAACATTGTTACAACAAATTGAATGGGTTCCTCCAGGAGTGATCAACTCCTTTAAGAATAAAGCTACGTGTCTTCCAAACTGGGGTTAAGTTATCTACACCACAAATTCAATTCCCAAGTAGTTTCCAATAAATTAAAGTCCTGTATGTGTTCTGTAATATCAAATTTTGTAAAAATAATTATGTCTTATTTTACAAGGGTTGTAAATGTGGTATATTGTCTTTTAATAGGTTTGTAGTCAACTATTTTTTAAGATGCGTAACCACCTAAAATACATTTACATTGTTTCTCAATCATATTCTTTGAAATCTCCTTCTCAAAATTATGTTCAACACCACTATAGTATTGAGAGAGTCTACAAACACAGGTTCATGATCAAAAATAATGGGGCTGGTGAGATACAATGCAGTGTTTTGATGTGCGTACACATTGTGAAAGGATCACCATATTCAAGCTAATAAATGAACAGATCTAACCGCTCATACAGTTGTGTGTGTGTGTGTGTGTGCGTGCGTGTGTGTGTAGAAACATTTAAGATCAACTCTCTTAGCAAATTGCAAGTATAAATATATTATCAGCTGATTATGCCACAGTGTATACTAATTCCCTACAACTTAGCTATCTTAAAACTATAATAATTTTTATCTTATCTTCCCCCTTCTGCCCCTAGCAAGTACACTTCTCTCTGTTCTCCAGGTTTGCTATATCAAATTACACATAGAAATGAAATCATGTAGCATTGTCTGACTGACTTATTTCACTTCATACAATGTCCTTCAAGTTCATCGATACTGTCACAAGTGGAAGGGTTTCCTTATATTCTACTTCTTAATATATTGTATTTATTATTTTTATTTTATGTGTATGAGTGTTTTGCCTGCACGTATGTAAGTGCATCACATGTGTGCCATGCCCTGCAGAGGCCAGAAGAGACTGTTGGATCCCCTGGAACTGGAGTTACAGGCACTTGTCAGTTGCCTTGTGGGTGGTAGAAATCGAACCCAGATCCTCTGAAAGAATAGCAAGTGTTCTCAACCACTGAGCCATCTCTCCAGCCTCCTATCTTACATATTTTTCATCCATTCATCTATTGAAAGATACTTATACAAACTAAGAAGTTAAATCTGATAGGCATGCTTAAGGAAAATAAAGGAGGACCATAAAGGTCAAAGCTCACTGAGAAACACACTTAAGAAAAACTCAACTTAGAGACAAAGTTGTAAATAGTAACACTTTAAGGAGAACTAGTAAAGTGGACCAGATGCAGTTGTGTTAAGGCAACACAGAAGGCAGAATGTCTGCTGTTAAGAGGAGAGGGAAAACAGATGTGCTAAGGCAGATCCTCTCCTCAGCCGTGTGTCAAATAAGGGAGATAGTTAAGTTAGGTAAAGGAGAGAGAGAGAGAGAGAGAGAGAGAGAGAGAGAGAGAGAGAGACCAGGGAGATAAAACAAAGCTAGAGCCAGTGAGATGGCTCAGTAGTTAAATGCATTTACTGTCAAGCCTGATGAGAGGGAGAGGGAGGGAGGGAGGGAGGGAGGGAGAGAGAGAGAGAGAGAGAGAGAGTCAACAGTTTGAGGAAAGGAAAAATCTGAGAATAGCTACCCTCCCAAAGCAAACAAACAAAACACCCTCTAAGACAAGGAATACACATGCATACACTATTAGAATGAGCATGTGTGTTGAAGGGAATGTGTGTATTTGGGCACTTTAGGACAGTAGAGAGGAGAGGTGGGCTGCAGTAGAAGGCATCATGTAAATATGTCATGATTAAGTAAACCTAATTAATTTTCAGGTTCTAGAGTTCGAAGTGTGATCTTGAACTATGCCAACACTCCCCATCCAGGCACCCTGTAATAACAGGACTCCAATGGCCCCCACCTTCTTGCTGGTGGGCCTGCCTGGGCTGGAAGTTGCACCATCGTGGTGGACAGTCCCTTTCATCGTTGTCTACCTTCTGTCTGCCCTGGGCAACGGTACTATCCTTTGGATCATTGCCCTGGAGCCCACGCTGCACCGACCAATGTACCTCTTCCTCTTCTTGCTCAGTGTGTCTGATGTTGGTTTGGTCACAGCGCTGATGCCCACCCTGCTGGGTCTGGCCTTCGCTGATGCCCATGCTGTGCCTGCCGCAGCCTGCCTCCTACAGATGTTCTTTGTCCATGTCTTTTCCGTCATGGAGTCATCTGTCTTACTCGTCATGGCCTTTGATCGGGCATTGGCCATCTGCCGACCTCTCCACTACCCAGCACTCCTCACCAACAGTGCCATTAGCAAGATTGGCCTGGCCATTGCTTTCCGATGCCTGGGTCTCCATCTGCCGCTGCCATTCCTCTTAGCTCACATGCCCTATTGCCGCCCGCAGGTCCTGACCCATTCCTATTGCTTGCACCCAGATATGGCCCGTCTAGCCTGCCCAGGAGCATGGGGTGCAGTCTATAGCCTGGCTGTAGTCCTGTCTGCCATGGCACTGGACCCTCTACTTATTTTCTTCTCCTATGGCCTGATTGGCAAAGTGTTGCAAGGTGTGGGGTCCACTGAGGATCGCTGGAAGGCTGGTCAAACCTGTGCTGCGCACCTCTCCGCCGTGCTCCTCTTCTACCTACCCATGATTCTCCTGGCACTCATTAGCCAATTCAAGCTGCCACTCCCTCAGCCTGCCCACACTCTTCTCTCCTATGTCCACTTCCTGCTTCCTCCGCTGATAAACCCAGTTCTCTATAGTGTAAAGATGAAGGAAATTAGAGAAAAAATACTCAGGAGAATGTTTCCCCGGAAGATAGGCTGCTCTCAGTGAGGGGATGCGCCTACATGCTTGGTGGTAGAGAACTCCCAATACAAAGAGCCCAATGACAGAGAACTTGGTCCACCATGCATGGGACTGTCACTCAGGTCATTTGCCTATGTGTGAATGTAGCTGCCTGTCTCCAGAAGTGTGCACTGTATGTTGAAGAAAGTTCAAAAGCCCCAGAGAACAGAAGCAATCTATCCACTATAGTACTCTCTGTTAAGAGAGAAAGAGGTGGATTCTGTTTTATCACATTCATCCAAGTGTGGGGTCTTGTTTGTTGTTTCTATCATTATATTCCGAGTAACTGAGAAATGTGGAGGATTTAAACAGCTACATGGAAGAAGAAAGAGATGATAGGTGCCTCCTGCCCAGGCAGATGGAGGACCTGCCACCTGTATTCACCTCATAAGTAATATTCTGACTGGTCTTCAGGGATTAAATGAAAGATCATGCAGTGCGTTTCTCATTTATGTTCTTCACACCAAGAAAGGGGTCATTTAACTCATCAGCCTGGAAAAAGTACAGTCAGTTTTCATTTTCCAGTATTCCAAATGTTCACCAAATTCTTGAGTGCATGTATGTTTGTGGTTAAAATTCCCAATAATTCAGGAAAATGAATAAATAAAGATCATCTAAGTTATATCATTCAAACAGCCATAATTGGATTCTTTTTATTCTTTCCTTCTTTCTTTCTTTTTTATGTGTATAAATGTACTGCCTGTGTGTATATAAGTGCACCCATTTCATGCAATGCCCACAGAAGCCAGAGAGGGTGTCAGATCCCCTGGAACTGGAGTTGTAGACAGTTGTTAGCCGCCATGTGGGTGCTGGGAACTGAACCTGGATCTTCTGCAAGAGCTGTCTGTGCTCTTAACTTCTAAACCATCTCTCTGGCCCCTCCCATTTTATTTTTGGTCTTTTGGAAGCAGGGTCTTCTTGTACCCCCAACTGGCCTGGAACTCCCTAGGTAGACCAGGTTGGCCTCTATCTCACAGAGATCCACCTGCCTATGTCTCCCAAGTACTGAGAATAAAGTTATGTTCCACCACCACCATGCCTGGCTTCATAATTCGGTTTTAAAATAACATTAATGAATATAATTTTTTGAGCAATGTATTGTGGTGTACACCTATATCCCAGTACTTAGGAAACTGGGGTAGCAGTATTGTGAGTTCAAGGGCAGCCTGAGCTACATAGTGAGTTCAAGGCTGCTTGAGCTACTTAGCAAAATTTCGTACAAATATGTGTTCAATTTACAGATTGTTCATGGAGTGTCTCAACTCATTACTTCCTAATAAGACCACACCCACACCATCTACTTTTGCTGTGACTTTGAGCTTGGATACATGATCCGCTCTGTTCCATATGAATCTCAAAGTGCTTAAAAGGATATTAATGGATGTGATAAGAGCAGCTGTCTTCAGTGGGATTTGACATGGGATCTTTTACATAGGACTTTCCTAATAGCTTCTTCCCCTCCCCTTCTTCCTGGTCTCTAGAATGGAATATGGTATAGACCTGATCAAATCCACAGCCTGGGCTTGTAGACTTGGTGACTCCCTGGTGCTTATACACTCGAAGCAGAACCACCAAGTCAGCCCAGATCAAGAGAACATCTGTCCACCTAATGACAGGTAGGTATTGTAAAAATTGCTACAGTTGTGTAAAGCTGAGGTCTTGTATTGTTACGCAGCATAAGTGGGCTAACACAGTATAAGTGCACTTTCATTCTGTTTTTTTAATCAATTTTCTTCTTGTTATGTTACTAGTATGCATATATGATGAGACTGAATGACTTATAACACAGTAGTTAAATAACATTCTACACCCATTTGCATCTAGTTTTTCCAGTAGTTTAAAACTCTTCAAGTCAATTGGTATAGACTTAATTCATTTAAATAACTTCATAATATTTAATGGGATGGATGGATTATAGTCTATTCAATGGTTTCTTGTTAATAAGTGTTAAAGATGTCTTCCCTTTTTTGTCACTACAAACAGTGCTTCAATAAAAATTCCTTTGCAACTACTCATGAATGCTTACACTTGTATTTCTGTAAGAGTGACCACCAGGCTATTATTCCTGGCCCTAAAGTACTGTAAAACTGATTTTTAAAGTAAATGGCCCTTTCTCAAAATACCTTATACATTCATATTTTATACCCTATAGGAATTGTGTTTAGTGACCCACTAATATTGAAGCAACATTATCCAGCCATGCAGACTATAATAAAGGCAATCTTCCCTTTATGTTTTTTAATTGGATTACAAGGTGATAGGTTTTCATGTGGCTTTTTCGTACACCCTTCATGTCAGTTAACCTCCCCACCTTACACTCAATACCCCAAGCCTTCTACACCTGCCCATTCTTAAATGCTTCAGATTCCAGTACTCTTACTCTCTACTTTCATCTTACCTGTGTGCTGCCATTTCCCTCAAGACACCCCCATGAATCCTGGTTTCCAAAGATACTCTAAATTAAATAAACAAAGCTAAAATGTCAGTCAAGCCAGGACCATATATGAGAGGCAATGTGTGGCCATTGTCTTTCTGAGCCTGAGTTGTCTCTCTCAGTGTTCTGTTGTTGTGGTGGTCGTTTTGTTGTTTTCAGTTTCACCCATTTACCTGCAAGTTCCATAATTTCATTTTCTTTACAACTGAACAGAATTTCATAGTGTATATGTCACCATTTTCCTTATCCATTCATCAGTTGATGTACCTCTAGGCTGATTCCATTACCTATGTATTGTGAGTACAGCAATGATGGACATGGAAGAGCGGGTACTCTGTAGTATGATATAGAGTCCTTTGGGTGTATGTCCAAAAGTAGTATAGCTGCATGAGTTTTTAAAATATCATTGTAATGATGCTGGTCAAACTGGATAGCTACATATAGAAGAATGAAATTAATTCCCTGTCTCTCACCAAGCACAAAACTTAACTACACATGGATCAAGAACCTCAACTTAAGACCTAATACCCTGAATCTGATAGAGGAGAAAGTAGGGAATACACTGGAACTTATAGGCACAGGAAAGGCCTTTCTGAACAGGACTCCTACAGAGCAAGCATGAAGTACAACAATTGACAAATGGGACCTCTTAAAACTAAACACCTCTACACAGCAAAGGACACCATCATTCTAGTGAAGAGGCAGCCTACAGAATGGGAGAAAAATCTCTACCAACTTTACCACAGACAGAGGATTAGTATCTGGAATATACAAAGAACTCAAAAAAATTAACATTAAAAATATCAAAAAAAAACCAAGCGTGGTGGCGCACACTTTTAGTCCTAGCACTCAGGAGGCAGAGGCAGGTGGATCTCTGTGAGTTCAAAGCCAGTCTGGTTTACATAGTGACTTCTAGGCCAGTTGGGACCACA